ATACCCTTTTGAAAAACCACAGGGTGCAGGGTGCAACAACTTGCACATTCATAGATCCCACTTTTATCATTAGACATCACAAGAATTGCAACTTACAATGTGCACCCATTAGCTAAATGTAGTAGACTGCACCCACTGGTATTTTCAGGTGCAATGGAGGAAGAAAAAAAGTGCACCCACTGGGCCCAGTGTATTGGAGATGTACATTTAACTTCTGTAAAGCAGGGAAACAACTAGAGCATATCCCTAATTTTCATAATGGAAAAATGTTAAATGGAGAACTGCTTGAAGTACATGTTGAGAACAAGACTATTGTTCTAATCGATGTTTATAAGTTGTATATACATGTGGAGCATCATTTCTACCAAGCAGACGAGTATGCACAAATTGCAAAGTAAAGCTTCTATCAAATACATGTCAGCGAAGCATAATAGCGATTTGGTGCTTTTGCATAAGCTTCATATTTATGCAGCAAATAAAGAGTACATAACATATAAATATGAATATCTGAAAAAGGAACTTTGTATAAACCTTTTTGGTTGCTTATGAGTATCAAAAGATCTGAACAAGTTCAGGAGAAACTGAGTCAGGCCTTGTTCTGTCTGATCATAGAACAGCTTATACAGTAAAACACGGGCTGTTTGAGATTCCCTTGAATCTTCAGGATGAACTTTCACCACCAAATATATCATGCCAATCTGCAAAAGGAAGATTGTTCAGTGTGTGGATTCGAATAAGTCAAAGATAGAGACCATGAAAACATACTAAAGAAACGCGTTAAGGGAATTATGAAACTAAGCAAGTTCATATTTCTTAAGAAAATTAAATTCTCCTTTTCACACTAGCAATGTATTGTGATTCTCTTCATAGACCAAGTTTAACAGAGTTCTCATTCTCAGACAACAAAGGATAAATACAAATAACCAATAGATCCTATATGCCGTTTATGAAGCTTAACAAATTAATATCTAGTTACTCCCTCCGTAAACTAATATAAGAGCGTTTAGATCACTACTTTAGTAATCTAAATGCTCTTATATTAGTTTACGGAGGGAGTACAAGTTAGGCACTTAGTAGTTGATACTTGGTCATTACCACCAACATTCAGCAAGCAGTTAAGTTGATAAATAAATCATACTACTTGCTGGTAGTGAAATGGCTTCAAACTTTGCCTACTTATGGATAAACAGTAAACAAACCAAGATCAAGCCTAGTTTCAACCTCTACTTTTCTGTTGAACCGAGATCAAAGTTGGCAATCCAAATTTGGTTTTGGCGCAGCTATCTGAGCAATACTCCAATTTACTTGTTATAAACCTTTTTCAGGAAAAGAAACTGGACCAAGCTCAACCAAAACAATGGGTCAAAGTTTCAAAGTTAAGCCTAGCCGATTTTACTCAGACTTCACTTGTTTAAACCATTACTATTTTCGTTTTAGAATGTCAATGTCAAACATAGTGGTATGCAACCCGTTCTCAAGCTCATTGGCTCAGAAAAAAAATGGGAGAGAGAAATATGCAACTGGTTATACATGATCTAAGTATAGTATCCCTGTCTTTCTTAAATGTACGGAATACATATTTGCTTACCATGTTCTTCATTAAGGAGCCAGCAGCTGAAAGAGTTTTGTAATCCTTAGTCTGCTTCAGGTCTTCATAGGCCTCACGCCACATGGACAAGACTATATTGAACATATCTTCGTTTAATGTGGCTGCAACAGGTCCACATATGTCACCACGAAACGGCAGATCATCACATTCATTGCCTGGTGAAGTCTCGGACAGCTGGGGTCCAGCACTTGATTTCTAAACAAAAAAATGACACGTCAAAAAACAGCATGACAACAAGATGACAGAAACATTTCTGCATGAATAGTTATAATCATGGTGTTCTGTCAAATTAAGATAATGTATTCCCTACAAAAAGGTAACAAACTCACACATAAAAAATCTAGCAAAACAAGACAAGATAACGAAGTTGCATGTATTGTAAAAAAAACGCTGACGTACAACTTAAGTTGCATGCATTGCATTAGTGAAGATAAAATCAACTATATATGATCAGATATTGGCAATTCCAGTCAACATTGCCCAGGTGATAAAAACATGGAACAATAATTAGATATAGGAAAATGTAGCATCACAGCCCATGAGTTCAGTTTCAAACCTGAGCATTTGATGCTTTCTCGTGTTGAAAAGCTAAGACAAAGCAAACAACTTTGAAGAATGTAATGTTATCAGATTTCTCGACAGAATCATGCTGCTTCACAATATCATCACAAACAGACTGCATCAGGACTGAAAAGCACTGTGTTATCTCAAGCTTACAAAAATATAGAATATAGTAATAGTTTGGTAAAAGGAGCGATTAAGTTACCATTATATCCTCCAGATAAAAACTGATCCATGAAACTTCTTAGCATTTCCATAATACCCTCCTTTGGTATGTAAAGAAGTTCATTATCCCATGCTATCCTTTTTTGAGGGCCTCTTTGGACATTACGTATTTTCCGGAGGCTATTTGCAGATGACATTGCTGAGCTGGGGTTCCCTTTGCACAATGACTTAGATCCATCCTGTAAGATCAAGTGCAACACAAAGATTACAACACAACGATTTATCCACTTATGATGTAGAATCTAAAACAGCATTAGATTATATGGTACCACTGCAAGGCATGTAAAAATTCCGTTGAGTGCGTGATTCTCCGCGTTTCTCTGCCTGAACATCCTTTTTTCCTTCTCTTCCTTCTCCATCATCAATCTCAATGAATCAACTGATGTATCAATATCTCCATTGACCTGCTCCTATGAAACATCGAAAGAGTAACACAGTTCTCACTGTAAGTCATGGGAAAGGGGTCATCTAAAGAAATAGATAAATTAGTTTTGAAGAACAGGTATACCTTTGAGCCTTCTGGACGAACTTTGGCAATCAATTCTGGGTCCCGACCCAAGAAAAGATAATGAAAGATTTCCAACAAAAGAAGGTTTTCATGCTTGAGATAACCAGAGGGCTCATCAATATGTTGAGCTAGCACTAAGATCAGGTCCATCATATTTTCTTTAAACATGAGCTCTAAAAAGCTGTCAGCCAGGTACAATAACTGGGTAGCTTCCCCAGATGCCTTCTGAGGCAATGTGATTTCTTGAATAGCCAAGACATTGCGGAATAAAGTAAGCACCAGCTGTACTAGCTTCCAGTCATCTTCCGTGAATGAAGTTCTGATTGCCATTGAAAAGTAAGTCATGAATGCTCAACTTACTAGAACAAAGGAAACATAGTGTAATTGAACTAGTATAATGTGAACAGAATGGAATGAGAATGACAGAACATGCATGATATTTGCACAACTCTCCTTTATGCAACAAAACAGAAAAGGATAAATATAATATATTTTTAAGGAATAAGCATAAGTCTTTTGGGCACTACATACACTTGAACAGGTACATCAAATACCTTATGTTTGGTCACAGTTTAATTGGAAGAAAAAAAATCCCACATGCATATTTTTATTTCATGAGCATAGTCCAGTGCAGATGAAGATAGTAGCTAGCATCAAATTGACATGCAGATCAAGCATAATCATCTTGCTCATATGCCAATGACATTGAAAAATTAGAACTTACAAAATTATTACAGCATAACAAAAGCATGACCTCATCCGATATACAGGTGGAACTCAAAGTAGCAACGGAAGAGAATTCACCTTTCCAAATGATCCAATGGGTCCTCAAGAAGAGACACAATCACTGCGATTGCAACATTCCGTGTGAGTGCAGCCTTCAAATCCCACAGATACTCTATCTGCTGAGCAACATCCTCTGATGAAGGATCGACAGGCATGGTAAGGAATACCAACACTTTCACTTCAAAAAAAAGAAAGGAAAACATTAGACCTTGTAGTGTCACATCAGTTAATCCAACTGAAAGCACAATGTGTAGCTATATAAAGGGGAAAAGACAAATATTACAGTGATAAAACTTGATACAGACTCAATTCCAGATGAATTACAAGTAAATCAAAATTTTGACCCTTAGAGTAACAGATATTTAGGTCTACAAGGTCTGGCTAACTAAATCTTCCATGCATAACCAAGTTTGTGATTTTCCGGAAGTTCAAAACTACATACCGGTATCCTCAGATAAGAAAAAATGCATATAGGGGATACTGTCATTCAACAAACAGATCCGAAATGGCAGACACTACTTGTTTTTGTTCAACAATATAAGCCGGTTGCACATAAGTTTCGGCGAATTGAGACAGCAAAATGTGGACATTATCAGAGGCTCCTCTACCCACAAAATCAGTTCCTCTAATCTAATTGCTCGAGAGTATCAGATCTTGTGCGGGTTCTGTCCGTGCAGACCGTGACAACAGTTTCAGAGTTTCAGGAAGGGGGGGGATAGGAAACCTACCTGCCGTGATGACGAGGTTGCGGTCGGACTGGTAGTTCTCGATGATGGGCACCAGATCCCTGGACGCGATCCTCCACTTGCAGACCTGCTTGAAGACCTCCCGCCGCTCCGGGTCGTCCCGCCGCAGCAGCCTCTGCAGATCCTTCAGGTTGTCTGCACGAACGCGCGGCGCAGCGGAAGTCAGCGGACACCGAACGGCCGGAGGCGAACGGAAGGGAGGAGGGGCGTGGGGGCGGTACCGAGGCAGTGGTCGCCCTTGACGTAGCCGACGGCGCCCCCGTCGTCGTCCTCCTCTGCGGCCCCGAGGCCC